AAGTTTTATATAAGAAGCAGGTCCCGTTTCTTTAACAAGTTCAACTTTACATAAGCCACAGATTCTAGAAACTCAATCAATGACGTTGTGATTATACAGCGTAAAAAATAGTCAGATAACTCAAGTTTTTGGGTGAAGATTATGATGACCAAGTAAATAATATACACTCGCGTGCTACTTCCAAAATGTAAGTAGGTTTGTTGTAAATTTGATACGGTAAGCAAATACATGCTCATTGTATGACGCCATTTCGTGCATTCTATGCTTTGCTTTGCTTCAAATAATCCCTCCACATTCAATCAAAACAATCGACTTTATGTCAAACCTGTCTACACTTGGCACTGTGATGAATGGTATGCTTCGACTTCGCGACGCTTTCCGTGAAGTCCTTGGAAAACTGCGGAAATAAAATTGCGGTATGCATTTAATCCCAAACTGTTTGATCACATGACCTCGGGCTGCAAATTAATTTTGCACAAAAACAAGAGATTAGATCCTGCATTAATACTCGTTGAGAGGCAAGAAATTCCCTTAACTAAGTCTTCACTTGCCATCGTGTTGGATCGCGTATGCACTAGGGATTTGAAGTACCCACAAACTCCCTCAATTGTTGGTGTATAAAGGTTGCCCTTCCCATCAGACTAGTCATCAATTTCAACAAATGCGCTCTAATAATGCTCTTATTGTAAAGAAACTGTACACATTAATGAGGACAATTGGTAACTTCCCTGAGTATTTGAATGGTTTTGCGGACTTGTGGAGACGGACTGCATTTGGAGTTGTTTGCACCCCATTTCGACTGCTTGATGTTCAGTTCTTTCAATTTCCTTCGAATGGGGGAAGTCGAGGAATCCTTTGTCGGAGCTGCTTTAGTCTCCGGATATTTGGGCACCAGTCTTTTCTGTTTGGGGGGACGAGAGTAAAATTCTGGTATATTCCCCTTATTTTCCAAGCTCCAACTCATCGACCGCTTCCGATGCTGTTTCGAGTCATTTGTGAGAGAATATATGGAGTCGAAATTCTTATTAAGCTCCTGAAGCACGTTGTGAAGATTTCCATCTGCAGCTTGGTTGGTGTCTCGTGTCCCGAAGAGACGTCTCCGAGGCTCCGACGACATCATGAGGCCCATGCACAGAAAGTCGTGCTTATTTCAACAATTGAAATGGCGGACGTCATCCAATCGCGTGTCCTAATTGGCATTTCCAACCAACCGCGACTCACCTCGATGAGCCAATGGGAAAGCGCTGCGAATAGCGTTGTGTTTGGACTCCACGTAATGCAGACAATGTGTACCATGTCTACCCCTCATGTCCATGTGTCTGCAACGCACTGGTGAATGGCACTTTAAGGTGTAGTTTTGCATTATAATTGGCCACTATGCAGAATGCGCGTTTGAAGTGGTACCCACAAATACCAGCCGTTTTGACAGCTCTTCGCTTGTAGTCCTTCCCAGCTCCAATTACCCAAACCAAATTCATTCGTTCTGTAACTTTTGGGTTTCGTGTTCAGCCAATACAATCAGTAGTATTGCCCATCTTGACCGGACCGTCGTATCGTCCTCACCAACTTTGCCCCCACATTATCTCTGAAGACAATATTGTGCGAATAACCGTCAGAAAGCATTCTTTATTAACACGAAGAAGATCTGTGACAATCATGCGGGTGAAAAGACTGCCATAACACAGAGACCTGTGCAATTTGGTGTGCTACCATCTGAAACCATAACATCACACGCCTTTAGTTTTGCTTTCAGGTGAAGGTTACCATGATAAACGATTGGAAAATAGCATAATTCCGTTTTAAATAGTCGTTCCGTATTGATCAGAATGGCACAAATTCCTCATTCTCCACTAATTGTTCCTCCACTTGTGCTTTTCAGTCCTCCTGTGCGCTAATGATGAGCCAATCATTCTGCATTGATTTTCCCCATTACGGATTATGGAAGGGTCCTGAGCATATATCATGACATTAAAATGTCCTTCAAGTTTCGCATAAGGAATGGGACGAGCGGAACGATTCAGCGTCTCTGTATGTTTGTTGGTAGCGAAATTTGCCAAGGAAGATTGAATTGTCAGCTCCATTGCATTTTGCAACACTTGGTCTTTTCTTTTCTTTGTACTCACATGTTGCAGTTCCATCTACTCCTCGACTGCCGTTGGAGCCACTACACCCTAAAAGAACAAACGTCAATGCACGCAGCTGTGCTGGGATTCGGTTTACTGCCCCTTTCCGTTCCTTTTGAATTATCTTGTTTTCGCAGTGCACGAATTCAGATGACACAGGTGGATTTCATTACTTCATCACGCTTCCTCCTTTCACGCATTGCGGAACTTTGCACCTCGGTTAACACGCTTCATTCTTCTGCCCCTTACTCGGGGGAGTCCACGGACGTCCGCAATCGCTCGACATTTTTGTCGCCCATTTGTGTTTCAACCAATCGGCTTCAGCCGTCGCATGTGCGAGTTGTCCTACAGGCTATTTCCAGCACGACGAGACTACTGGGGGCAAGTGTGGCTGAATATCAGGTATGAAATCCGATTTGTTTTTGTGTAGGAAATACGCCTCAGCTTCTGTTTGCCAAGGTCGAGTCTCATGTTATGTGTGCAGTTTTGTGAGTAGGGTTGTTTGTGAAATACACGAATTGTGTGCGAATGAAAATGCGACATTCAAATAGCCGCACTTATTAAAAGCATGTGGTTTTGTATTTTTTGGGTGTTTGAGCACATTTTGAACAGCCTATCCATGTTGTTTGACCACTCCCAGCGCCGGTGCCGTATCTGGCTTCCGAGGTGCACATTAACCTTCATTAAGCGACTCCATGAAATTGGGAAGCAGCCTCTGCAATAGTATTACTGTGTTCTTTGCTGGTGGATAAAAGAGCATGAAGTTGAGGGATTTTGCTTTTCAAGGAGATGTGGGGGCTTTGAATGCCTTCAAATGGTTTAGCAACTGCACACTTTTGTCATTTTCGCACAGATTTTGGCATTATAATCGCTTTTTCGAGAGGTCAAACGGCATACAAAAGCTGAGCTCACACGGCGAAATGTTGGATGTGCGAGTTCTTCAATCTTCGTGGTTTAGCTTTCATCCCTGTGTGATGACCTCACTACCATTTCCCATCACCCACTACTTCTTCACTTTACTAAAAGCCACTGAATTTCGCTGGCATCCAGTTTGCCTCAAAATGCACGTCGTTCTTCTCGGCATGCACTGGTGTTAAGAATTCACATGAGTCGGGACAGAAATCGCAGTAGTCAGGGCATTCACGGCCTGATAGTGTGATGTAAACTGCCGAGTGGTGCAAACCCCGCTTTCATTCTGCGTTTCAACACTGGCACTCGATGCGTATTTCCTAAAGCGGCCTATTTTCCTCACATCCACTGTGGTCAAGCTGATCCATGGAAAGGTCTGCACTTTGAGTTGGGAGGACGATACTACTCCACCCTAATCATCGCATGCCCCAGATGACATTTCTCCAAGTAACAGGCGCGATTTTGGCATTACACAACCACCAAGCGAATGGCATGGATAGTTAGAACATTGAACTGGGTAGACATGGAAGAGATAAGGAGTAAGTGGAATCTGGCATTGTACAAATGAAGTTTTATATAAGAAGCAGGTCCCGTTTCTTTAACAAGTTCAACTTTACATAAGCCACAGATTCTAGAAACTCAATCAATGACGTTGTGATTATACAGCGTAAAAAATAGTCAGATAACTCAAGTTTTTGGGTGAAGATTATGATGACCAAGTAAATAATATACACTCGCGTGCTACTTCCAAAATGTAAGTAGGTTTGTTGTAAATTTGATACGGTAAGCAAATACATGCTCATTGTATGACGCCATTTCGTGCATTCTATGCTTTGCTTTGCTTCAAATAATCCCTCCACATTCAATCAAAACAATCGACTTTATGTCAAACCTGTCTACACTTGGCACTGTGATGAATGGTATGCTTCGACTTCGCGACGCTTTCCGTGAAGTCCTTGGAAAACTGCGGAAATAAAATTGCGGTATGCATTTAATCCCAAACTGTTTGATCACATGACCTCGGGCTGCAAATTAATTTTGCACAAAAACAAGAGATTAGATCCTGCATTAATACTCGTTGAGAGGCAAGAAATTCCCTTAACTAAGTCTTCACTTGCCATCGTGTTGGATCGCGTATGCACTAGGGATTTGAAGTACCCACAAACTCCCTCAATTGTTGGTGTATAAAGGTTGCCCTTCCCATCAGACTAGTCATCAATTTCAACAAATGCGCTCTAATAATGCTCTTATTGTAAAGAAACTGTACACATTAATGAGGACAATTGGTAACTTCCCTGAGTATTTGAATGGTTTTGCGGACTTGTGGAGACGGACTGCATTTGGAGTTGTTTGCACCCCATTTCGACTGCTTGATGTTCAGTTCTTTCAATTTCCTTCGAATGGGGGAAGTCGAGGAATCCTTTGTCGGAGCTGCTTTAGTCTCCGGATATTTGGGCACCAGTCTTTTCTGTTTGGGGGGACGAGAGTAAAATTCTGGTATATTCCCCTTATTTTCCAAGCTCCAACTCATCGACCGCTTCCGATGCTGTTTCGAGTCATTTGTGAGAGAATATATGGAGTCGAAATTCTTATTAAGCTCCTGAAGCACGTTGTGAAGATTTCCATCTGCAGCTTGGTTGGTGTCTCGTGTCCCGAAGAGACGTCTCCGAGGCTCCGACGACATCATGAGGCCCATGCACAGAAAGTCGTGCTTATTTCAACAATTGAAATGGCGGACGTCATCCAATCGCGTGTCCTAATTGGCATTTCCAACCAACCGCGACTCACCTCGATGAGCCAATGGGAAAGCGCTGCGAATAGCGTTGTGTTTGGACTCCACGTAATGCAGACAATGTGTACCATGTCTACCCCTCATGTCCATGTGTCTGCAACGCACTGGTGAATGGCACTTTAAGGTGTAGTTTTGCATTATAATTGGCCACTATGCAGAATGCGCGTTTGAAGTGGTACCCACAAATACCAGCCGTTTTGACAGCTCTTCGCTTGTAGTCCTTCCCAGCTCCAATTACCCAAACCAAATTCATTCGTTCTGTAACTTTTGGGTTTCGTGTTCAGCCAATACAATCAGTAGTATTGCCCATCTTGACCGGACCGTCGTATCGTCCTCACCAACTTTGCCCCCACATTATCTCTGAAGACAATATTGTGCGAATAACCGTCAGAAAGCATTCTTTATTAACACGAAGAAGATCTGTGACAATCATGCGGGTGAAAAGACTGCCATAACACAGAGACCTGTGCAATTTGGTGTGCTACCATCTGAAACCATAACATCACACGCCTTTAGTTTTGCTTTCAGGTGAAGGTTACCATGATAAACGATTGGAAAATAGCATAATTCCGTTTTAAATAGTCGTTCCGTATTGATCAGAATGGCACAAATTCCTCATTCTCCACTAATTGTTCCTCCACTTGTGCTTTTCAGTCCTCCTGTGCGCTAATGATGAGCCAATCATTCTGCATTGATTTTCCCCATTACGGATTATGGAAGGGTCCTGAGCATATATCATGACATTAAAATGTCCTTCAAGTTTCGCATAAGGAATGGGACGAGCGGAACGATTCAGCGTCTCTGTATGTTTGTTGGTAGCGAAATTTGCCAAGGAAGATTGAATTGTCAGCTCCATTGCATTTTGCAACACTTGGTCTTTTCTTTTCTTTGTACTCACATGTTGCAGTTCCATCTACTCCTCGACTGCCGTTGGAGCCACTACACCCTAAAAGAACAAACGTCAATGCACGCAGCTGTGCTGGGATTCGGTTTACTGCCCCTTTCCGTTCCTTTTGAATTATCTTGTTTTCGCAGTGCACGAATTCAGATGACACAGGTGGATTTCATTACTTCATCACGCTTCCTCCTTTCACGCATTGCGGAACTTTGCACCTCGGTTAACACGCTTCATTCTTCTGCCCCTTACTCGGGGGAGTCCACGGACGTCCGCAATCGCTCGACATTTTTGTCGCCCATTTGTGTTTCAACCAATCGGCTTCAGCCGTCGCATGTGCGAGTTGTCCTACAGGCTATTTCCAGCACGACGAGACTACTGGGGGCAAGTGTGGCTGAATATCAGGTATGAAATCCGATTTGTTTTTGTGTAGGAAATACGCCTCAGCTTCTGTTTGCCAAGGTCGAGTCTCATGTTATGTGTGCAGTTTTGTGAGTAGGGTTGTTTGTGAAATACACGAATTGTGTGCGAATGAAAATGCGACATTCAAATAGCCGCACTTATTAAAAGCATGTGGTTTTGTATTTTTTGGGTGTTTGAGCACATTTTGAACAGCCTATCCATGTTGTTTGACCACTCCCAGCGCCGGTGCCGTATCTGGCTTCCGAGGTGCACATTAACCTTCATTAAGCGACTCCATGAAATTGGGAAGCAGCCTCTGCAATAGTATTACTGTGTTCTTTGCTGGTGGATAAAAGAGCATGAAGTTGAGGGATTTTGCTTTTCAAGGAGATGTGGGGGCTTTGAATGCCTTCAAATGGTTTAGCAACTGCACACTTTTGTCATTTTCGCACAGATTTTGGCATTATAATCGCTTTTTCGAGAGGTCAAACGGCATACAAAAGCTGAGCTCACACGGCGAAATGTTGGATGTGCGAGTTCTTCAATCTTCGTGGTTTAGCTTTCATCCCTGTGTGATGACCTCACTACCATTTCCCATCACCCACTACTTCTTCACTTTACTAAAAGCCACTGAATTTCGCTGGCATCCAGTTTGCCTCAAAATGCACGTCGTTCTTCTCGGCATGCACTGGTGTTAAGAATTCACATGAGTCGGGACAGAAATCGCAGTAGTCAGGGCATTCACGGCCTGATAGTGTGATGTAAACTGCCGAGTGGTGCAAACCCCGCTTTCATTCTGCGTTTCAACACTGGCACTCGATGCGTATTTCCTAAAGCGGCCTATTTTCCTCACATCCACTGTGGTCAAGCTGATCCATGGAAAGGTCTGCACTTTGAGTTGGGAGGACGATACTACTCCACCCTAATCATCGCATGCCCCAGATGACATTTCTCCAAGTAACAGGCGCGATTTTGGCATTACACAACCACCAAGCGAATGGCATGGATAGTTAGAACATTGAACTGGGTAGACATGGAAGAGATAAGGAGTAAGTGGAATCTGGCATTGTACAAATGAGAAGATGCATTAAGGTGGAATACGTGAGCTTGAATTTGAGTGGAAGCGGATCAAGGCATGGAATGCTTGAACACCTCAGGAAGCATTCTGCACCTGTGAGGACCACACGAACATGTTTGCTTACAAGTC